AGTGTAGCAGGAGCTGCATTTGTGAAGTTTTAAATAAAAAGTTTTTGTTTAGCGTGTAAGACAGGTCTGGTCATTTTTGTGTGACACCAAAAAATGTGAGATGTTTTTTGCTTTCAGTTCAAGACTTTTTTTTTTTTAAATTTATTTATTTTGGTCGAGCTGACAGAACCAACAGCAGTGATTAAAGTCTTAAATGTTGTTGCAGGGCTGTTGTAATGGATTACATTAGATTATGCCATGCTTACTCATATTTCTTCCCTATTTTATACCTAAATATATAAAAATGTCAAACTTTCCTCCATGATACTGTACTACCGCAGGAGCAACAATCCATCCAGCTGGCTGTCCTACAGTGGCATGCAGAACCAATACAGCCATGACAACGTGCAGTCCCGCAAATTGAAGAGAATCATCCCCCACCCGCTTTACAATCAAATGACATCTGACTATGACATTGCTCTGCTGGAGCTCAGTGAACCTCTGCAATTTGCCAATACCATACAACCCATCTGCCTACCCGATTCCTCCCATGTTTTCCCAGCAGGCATGTCCTGCTGGGTCACAGGCTGGGGCGCTCTCCGAGAAGGAGGTATTATAAGTGTAATGGTGATTCTCTGAACAACTGTAGTCATTTTAAATTTAATTTAAAAAAAAAAATCATTTATGTATTTATTTTTTGGTGACCCACTCTGTTCTTTACATTCCATTCACTGTCCATACCGTTTCCTAATCTCTCCAATCACGACATACTCCTCTTGCACTTCTTCCTGTATCCCTTTCTCTAATCTACTTTATTCCCTATACATGTATTAACACAGACACCGGCTCTCCTGTGTCACCTCTTAAACCTTCATTAGCTAACATTAATCTACCCCGTTAACCAGTTACTGTAGAAAACAGTCATTGGTTTATACCTTTTTTATGACAGCACTGGAAGGCAAGGTCATGTGACACAGTACTGATCCCTTTGTCGTACTCTAGCAGGTCAAGCTGCACAGATTTTACAGAAAGCATTAGTGAAAATCATCAATGACTCCGTGTGTGACGTGGTCACAGAAGGCCAAGTCACCTCCAGGATGCTCTGCAGTGGATACTTGTCTGGAGGAGTTGACGCATGCCAGGTGAGATTGTGTGCACATTTCCTAAAGGCATGGAAAAAAACCCAATTTGTTGATGTGGGCAGATCGCATCCAAATGCAGTCTAACAACCATTCTCCTCCAACCGTGATCACCAGGGTGACTCTGGAGGCCCCCTGGTGTGCTTCGAAGAGAGCGGGAAGTGGTTCCAGGCGGGCATTGTGAGCTGGGGAGAGGGCTGCGCTCGTCGGAACAAGCCTGGTGTCTACACGCGCGTCACCAAGCTCAGAGAATGGATTAAACAGGAGACAAATATTTGATGTTTGTGTGGGGAACAGGCTGGGTTGCAGAGTTAACCCATCCTGTTGCTCAAGGTCATCAGTGCTTTAAAAAAAAACCCATCAGACTAAACATGTTATTCTGATCAGAACAAAGCTACTCGCATCAGCTACTTGACTTCAGGCATGGTATTTTATGTAATTTTTAAAGACGATCTTTAGCACAATGAGCATAGTTACCCCCATCAATTCATGACCTCTTTAAGCAGTAAATACAGAGAGAAATATGAAATATATAGTTTGTGAATTATTTTTTTCACTCTTTTTGTCCAGTGTGACTGTTTCAGAGTGTTTCTGAGTACATTATCATACTCTGGAAAGTGGTTGTATTTTAAAGTTTTTAATGTGATTTTTATTTTTATTTTTTCTCTTTTGTGAGATGCTTTCATCCTCTTGCTGCAGTAAATATTGCCAGTAAGCTCATGCGGTAAGTGGCTATAAATTTATGGTTTTATGTAATGGCAGAAGTTTCTTTAAAAACAAAAAAACAATAGCTACAATAAAAACAAATAACACAAGAACAAAAATCCAGGTAGGGGAATTTTCATATCCTACTAAAATGAATGAAAACCAAAAACTGCCTTGAAGGTAGAAAATGCAGTAATCAATCTAAAAGCCCACAGTTTGCTTTGGAAAATGGCCAGCAATAAAGTACACCGGTTTGTAGTCAGCAGTCTGAAAATAGGAAAAACACTAGCATGAGCATTGAAGAGTTAGACTGGAGTGATTCATAAAAAGTTGTAGCAACCCAGATCAGTTTTTGTTATTTATAGAGGGCCCTGCCGGTGAATGATTAGGCAAAATCTCATACTCGAGAAGGGCAGAGGGTGGTGTTTAGGTCTTGCTGGCTTTTGCACATGTCTGCAATTAAGCTCAGGGCGACTGGGGTCTTCAATCACACAGCCTGAGTGTAAATCAGTGCGGTTTTCACTAGTTGCAAGAGCAATGCAATCCATTCTTCACCGTGAGAGCTTCCTCTGTTTGATCACGACCCAACTTCACCTTAAGCAACATATCTGACCCGATGGTTTATTCTAACGCAACTGTTACACTCAGGATAAGAACTAGAATTTTCCAAGGATTATTTATTGAAGGGGAGGAAATATTAGAATAAACAATTGGCAGGGTTATATACATATGTTAATGTGTATTTTTTTTTTTTTTTTTTCAAAATATGTATGTAGAAAGCTGGGAGAGGCTACAAATTTTAAAAGATATTTTCATAAGCATTGTATACAAACTGTGACTTGGATAATGGACCTTTTATTCTGTGTGTATCTATTTTTATATGAGTCATGATAATAAACATCTTTTATCTGATTCCTCTGCACCTAATTACATTACCTGTATCATTTGTCTTTGATGGGGCCTTGTTTTGTATTATGTTGTGCATAATGAATGCAGGCCTTGTGAGACTTTGTCCCTTCTCACAGTAGACTTGTAATGAGCGTGTTCTTCTCCTCCCTGTCGTGAGCAGCGGGCCTACCTGGGGAACAAAGGTGACAGGGCGAACTCATATTGTCAAATAATACCTACCTTTGTCGCAGCTCTATCCTGTTACCCTTCGAGATAGGCGCGTTGGCTTCAGGAGGTGGATACACATACAGTGGGGGTTCCACTATCTCATCTGTCTTCATTAAAAGCAGCACACCACTGGGGGAATAGGAAAATCAACATAGACAGTGCTGCTAATTTATGTATTCATCATTTTTGCTACATGGGAGGCTTTGTTTTTCACTGTTCCCCATGCCCAATGAAGCAGCTCACCAGACTGATTAACTCAGAGGATTCACACGAGCCGTGTTCTTTATCGGAAATGGTTTTATTTAAATATAAATATGTGTACAAAGGTACAAGCAACAATAGCTCTTTTTTTTTTTTTAGCAAATAAAATTCTTAATACAATATTAAAAGAATGAACAAACAAAATGGCAATTAGTTGTGTTCCAAAGCATGGTAACTGCATTCAGAGGAATGATGAACAACTCAGACAAGAAAATGTGTGAATACCAAATAAAATAAACTGAGATAGATACATATGTATATAAAGATACTTTACAGTAGAGCAGCTTACACGCTGTACTTTAAGGCGTATACAAAATAGAAAAATAAAGACAAGCGATGATGTTTGCCTCCTCACTTTAAGTGACATTTGTTCTCTCATTAGGCTGCCTGGGAACGTTTCATTTCTTTCTTTATATTTTTAGACAAATGGCAGTACAAGCGTCCACACCAAAAACGCCCAGGAAGTGGAATGCGGCCGGGTCAGGTGCAGTAACCGATGTCTCGAACATGAAATGGACATGAATATAAACGCTGAAGAGTTTCACTAGACACATCATTTGCATGCAACAGAGAGAAAGTATGGACTTAGCCATTTGTACAGATACTCAGTTTCAGGGTAGTACTGTTTCTTGTAAACATAGCGAGACGATTTGATTGAGTTGAGTTGTAAAACTTGAGAGCGGGTGGTCCCCCGTCAGGACCGCCTTCCACATCTTACCCCACCTAAGCCTGCCAAAGTTGATTCTGCGTTCAAGTTTATTTCAAGTTCAAGATTGCCACCATTTTCCAAAAAAAAAAAAAAAAAAAGACCACTTTTGATTGTTCTGGTTCCTACTCCTTGATTTTACAATCAGAAAGTACAGCAGGAAACGATGCAGGGGTAGATCAACAGTTTTCAACATCAGCCCCTATTTTTATTACCTATACAATTTGTTACCATCTTTGGGTTTTCACTGCCTTAACTCGTCCGTGTCAGTACAACATAGAGTCCTCCATTAAAACGAAGGCAATATGCACATTCTTCTCTCCCCACTGGCAGACAACACTTTGTGTCCAACGTGTTAAGGTTATCACGAGAGGCTCCAGAAACACAGGTCAGTCCAGATGTATTCCACTTACAATAGAGTGCCTGTAGCACTTGTTGGTTAGTGCAGCTAGCCTGTTGTGCAGAATAGTTCATGTCTGTCTCTGTGGATAGCTCAGTCATTTGTAGATGATAGAGACACAAATGTGCTTACAATTCCTTTCGCATGCCAACGAAAACATCAAAATGACAGACAACAAAGGTTCTTCACACCTTTTTACCCCCCCCCCCCCCTCAAATACTGTACGTGTTAGCTCGTACTGTCTTCTTTCAAAGTATTTACGAGGTTATGTTTACAATTAGTGTTGACACAAAGTAAACTCTGGAATGCAGGTAAACAGCTACCCCAGTCGTTTTGGCCACCCAAATTTAAGGGATGCATTTGATTTATTTTCTGGTTGGCCCACGAACTCGCAGAACATCTCCACAAGTTTGGGTGGTCATCATGTAGAGACAACCTAGTGAGGTATCGCACTGTAATGTTCATCATATGCTTGACTTGAACATCACAATCTGCTTAATTTTCTAGCTCTACAAGTTCACATTACTGTAGATGCTGCCGTCCATCGCAGGTTGGTTATTCATAACCGAAATCATGCCTCCCTTCTTATACTGTCCTAACAAATCCTTGCAGGACTGTCCGAGTAAAGAAAGTTCATGTTAGTCCGCCCACACATGTGGTGACAAATAGTTATCTACTCACTGCTTCTTTACTCTTTTTTTTTTTTTTGGCCCTATCAGACATGAGTCTGCATACGTTGCGAGGGCCGGCCATAGTCGGACTGCTGGGAGGACACTTGTGATGAGGCGTAAGAGAAGCGAGATGAGCTCGAGACCTTGCTGGCCTGATCTGATTGGTCGTACGCATCCACCTTCTCATAGGAAGCAGGCTTAACATAACTGGTGAAGGCGTGGCCATAAGTAGCAGGTAGGTAAGCAGTGCCACTGTAGAGGGGGTCAGTGGGATAAACTCCCCCCTGCTGGGCAGGCTGCTGCTGGGCAGCTTGCTGCTGTTCGTATGAGGTTCTGCTCACTGTGGTGGTTGCGTATCGGTGGGAGAAGTCATAGGCACGGGGTTGGGTGCCGTGCTGACCGTACACGGGGCTGGGGGAGGGCAGCTGCGATGGAGTGTAGACCGGCCGAGAATTGGGCACGTATTCAGAAAATCCGCTGCCGCGAATATGACGGTCGTCGTGGCCACGAACATTGTAGTAACCATTGGTAGGATCCTTTGAAAAAAACAGAGGGAAAAAAACATCAATTTGACTTCAGTTCAGTATCATGTGGAAAAAAAGCATGCTTGCTATTTTGAGAGTTTCTGCAAGGAAGTGTTTTTCAGTTTTACCTTGATGTCCGATCTTTCGTCCTCCTCCTCTTCCAGGAGGTCGCTGTGTTCTGTGCGCGATGTCCCGGGAGACTCGCTGCTGTTTGGAGCCTGAGGGAAGACCAAGAATTATTAGGATGAACAAGACCTTACTAGAATAAGAACAAAAGAAAGTCTGAACATTACGTTATAATAGTACTGATTTCTCTCTCACAGTCCATGGAGATGTTTGACATACAGAGAAGCTGAACAAAATAGACCTACCATGGGTTCTTTGACATCTTCCTCGTCGTCGTTGCCGCGTGTAGCATTGTGATCGCTGTGAACAATCTGAACTCTGATGTCACTCTTGGAAAGACGAGTGCATCTTTTGCCTATGGGAAATGAGAACAGATTCACTCAACATTGCGAGGAAGATTTGTAAATCCAATTTACACGAAGCTTTCTATTCAAACTCAAGGTGAAACGGCACAAAATTGAACATAATCTTTTCAATTTTCAGCTCGCAGGCACTTTATTATGTTCGATTTGAAGAATTGGCTGTTGACCCTCCTGCCCATACTAACCGTTGAGCTCACCTTTGCCTGTGTGCCTGCAGCAGAGGGAGACCAGAGTGATGACACAGATGAGCAGGACACAGCCGCCACCTACTGCCCCACCTACAATTATCAACATCGGCAGTGCTTCTGCAAGAACAATGGTAACAGAAGAAATGCGTGGCAAAGAGGGTGAGGGTCGATGGTTTGTCAAGAGATGGGGAAGGGATGAAATCAGAGATAGCAGAACATAAGTGTCTAGGAAAGTGCATATTGGAGCAAATGAAAGGAACAGAAGAGATTCTATTCTCTTTTTTTTTTTCTTGCCTAGCTAATCTGAAAAATGCTCTAGTGCCCATAAATTGATCTGCAGTAAGCCCTGATCTTCTCACAGTGACTGTAACATATGCTCATGTGGGCAATCCAGCATCTCACAGCCTGGCTATTGTCTCTAATCTCTCTGAAAGAAGGGTAACAAGGCCTGACATGTAATGAAGCAATAGACAGTAATCTAATTAGAGATTCCAGGAGATAGCGCTGCCCATTTCTCTGGAGACCCTGCTCTGCTACGTTGATGTAAATTACTGGCGAGGACCTCATTTTTGGTGTCTACTGCAACAAAGGTTTCCCCTAGCATCAGTGGAGTCGTACCACCGCTGTTTAATTTTAAAACCACTTAAGGGGCCTGCAGCCTGAGATGCTGAGCTTGGCTATAAGACATTGATAGAGACTATGATCCCAGCTGCAAACACATGTGGCTTCCTCTAATTGAATTTTGTCCCTAATCAATATCTATGTTATGGGGCAAACATATTCATTAAAGAAGCCATCTGCTGATTAAATCATATCGATTAGAAGAGCATAATTAAGATAAGCACGAGACGGGGGCACTACTTTTACCCAATCTTCACAGCAAGAACCGAGACTATCGCTATAACTCCTGTGCAGGAGTATTACTCTGGCCCGTGTGTACCTTGCTCCTTCAGCGTGACCAGGGCAGTGCCTGTGCCGAAGCGGTTCCAAGCAGTGCAGTTGTAGCGCAGCTGGAAATCTTGTGAAAGAGTCTCAGATAGCACCAGAGACGACACGACTCCGTGGTCACTGGTTACTGTCTGCACTGAGTAACGACCGGAGGAGCCGGAGGACAGGCTCATGTCCCCAAAGGTCCACACCTGTGGAGAAGAGTGAGAGAATAGACAACAGGGGGTAAGGAATTGTTCTATAAAGAATCCTTCACCTGTGAGCAAAGCAGAAGCCAGCACGGCTGTTTATCCTTAGATCCCTGCCTGCTGCTGTGTGAACGCCGGCTCTCTCTCTCTTGTGCTTTTTCCCTGCTGACCTCTGAGGTGCTCGGTGTCTGACACAACTCACGGACTCATGTTTAAGCTGCCTCCCACGTTTGCCCTGCAGGTGAAGCCTAAGGAGGGTTAGGTAGCTACACTGGGAAACAAGGCTACTTTTTGCCGTGTCTAGCACAGAGCCAGCAGGGCACCTGTCTCTCACTTCTCCTCGCACCCTAATTATCCTCTCTCAGCCCAGCGTACATTCAGCAGTTCAACAGGGTCAGACGACTGATGCCTCTTGGGCCGCTAATTGAATGTGGTCTGGCTGAAACCTGCAGGAAGCCATTCTTTCAGCAGCTCCGATAACTCCACAATCATTCCGGTCAGTGTCTGTGTATATGTTTTGTTTTAGCAAGCGCGGTGGAGATGTGCTGGTGCAAAGGTGTAGAGGTGAGGTTAGGGGTAAAGCTCATGTTAGTGATGCTGCTTATGTGGGCGGGGTAAGGAAGGGGGAGTATGTACAAACTGAGTGTGTGAGCTAATAAGCATTAGTGAATGACAACACACAACACAAATAAGAGGATCACTTACAATCTTATCAGGTGGGGGGCTGCTTCCCACCCGGCACTCCAGCTTGCCCTTGGAGTGTTTGACAGCGTGCTGTGTGGCCTCTGCTGTGATGATAGGTGGACCTGTGGGCAGATGAAAGAAAGTGAAGGAAATAAAGAGAGTTTTAAAAAAGACGTACAAGTGCAAGCATACAAAAAAACTAGACAGTAAAGTGGTGTTAGAAATAGAAATATAGATGAATAACTAAGTAACCATTTCCTATATCAGGCCCATCCATTGGCACAAAAGATAAATCTGGTATGTATTAATCTCATGACTTTTCTGTAATCTTTGCTCTTTTTCTGAAATGTTTCATGAGAAAACTCTGCTTTGGTGTTTGAAACTATTGAAAATACTAAAAAAAAATGTTTTAACTAAACAAGTAACTAGACACAGCAGTTGTCAACTGAATGAGTAAAAAGAAAAATATATATATAGGTTTTTAAAGTAATGAGGAGTAAATTTAACATAAAAAAAAACATACTTAAGTGATTTATTTTTTTCTTTTGTTCTTTAAGAAACTTCTCACCATTTACAGTTAGAGTGACATCTCTTTCTGCAACTCCAATACGGGGTACAATGGCCTTGCAGGTGTATGTGCCAGCATCCTCCTGAGTAACAGCCTTCAGCTGCAAGGTGTTACCATTACTGAGCACCTAGTGAGAAATCCAGGGAGACAAGTGAGAAGTATGTTAGAGACAGAAAGAGACAGAAAGAACAAGGTTGTGAGTAGAAGAGGCAGGCGAAAGCAAAGTGGGACCTTTATCAGTGGCCCACTCACTGTGCAGGCAGCACAGAGGTGGGCTGACCATTGTAACAAATGCTGGTGGTTTGAGTTTAATTTCATTGTGAAGAGCTTTAATCACAGCATTAAGCACTCCAGCCACCGCTGAGTGACCGTGCTGCTGTGGAGATTGTTGCAATTAAACAGTGGGGACAGAACGAAGCATGTGTGAGTGGGCCCTAGCCTTTGGAGCTGCTACACTCACTCACTCCTTAGCTCATTGATCCTGTCATTCCATCAAGCTGTGATTAATCCATTTACCCCCGCGCCATCCTCCTCCCTCCCTCCATCTTCACATCTCCCTCTCACTCTACATTTTTTTTAATTTCACCACGCTTATGGAGTAACCCAATTAATCTATTACTCATGGCTGTGTGAGGGACAGTGGCAGTGGGTGGATTAGAAAAAATGTCTGCACCATTCCCTGAGTGTGGCTGAAAGCATTCTCTCTTTAAGATGACAGCATTGCTTATGCCATCGCACAGCATTCTTGACCGGGGGTGCTTTTTCCAGCATAGCTTCAGAAATTACATTAGTTGCCAAGAGAGATCTCCTATGGGATGCCCCCACTAATGGTGTGCACGCTAGAACACTTTTACCAGCATGATGTAACGTGAAGGTGGAAGTGTCCCATTTGTTCCACCTGCAAAATTGACTTTAAGGAGATAGATACGCAAGCCTAGCTGGGCCTTTGTGCTGTCGAGAGGCGGGAGATGCTGCTCTAAAAGTTACAAGTACAAGTAGTGATTCTCCCCTTGAATGAGTGATTGATTGACCGATTGATTAAGTCGGGATTGTGACAACGTGTCGTGTGCTCTGATGGTGCTCTATGAATCTGTCATAGGACAGGCAGTTTTCTGCCAGAGGCTTTAGCCCTCAGGGAGAGTGGTTAGAGGAGGTGTTGAAGTTTCTGCCTGAAAAAAGGAAGTGTGGGAAAAAGTGTGAGGGATTCATGCCTCAAGGCCATGTGTGAATGTTTCTCTCCGGAGGAATGGTGCTGAGGTGTGGTGCTGAAGCTTTAGCATCAAGAAAATATGCTGGTGACTGGCTTTTTTTTTTGTTGTTGTTGCCTTACCACACTGGAGCCTTGCTTGGTCCAAGCCAGGGTCAGAGGAGGGTTTCCAGTCCACGCACAAGTGAAGGCTGCATCCATGCCTGTATCCACTGTCATGGGCTTCGGCTCCGACAGCAGTCTGGGGCCAACTAGAAGGGAAGCAATGCAGGCGGCCAGTTAGAATCAGTAAGAGACTTTTTTTAAAAAGCTGCTCTACCTTCAATATCTGAAAACACAGACCACACCGCGTACAGTGTTTGCCTTCAGTTAAACTTACACTGGACATCAACCAGAGTGCTGACATTGGTGCTGCCCACAGAGTTGGACACCTCACAGGAGACGGGGTCTGTGAAGTAGGAGTAGTCCACTGTCACCTCAAGGCTATCCCCATTTGCTTCGGAGATGGGGACTCCTCCTTTCGACCACCTGGAACAAATGAATGATCACAGCTCCATTAGTTCTGGTAAGGAACGGTGCGATGCGTATCAAAGTGGCTGTTAGCCGATTTGTGGCTTGTGCCAATCAAACAGCCCATTTAATCCACGGAGTCTACTTGGCATCTTTTTGTCTCAGTTTATAACATTTTTGCAGCTTATAAAATTCATTTTATTAGGCTTTTATGTCTTAGTGCAACGCAGAGGTTTAGAGTGGACACAGAAAAGACAGATACCTGTATCCAGTGATTTCAGGATTGGCTGAGGCAGAGCAGATGAAGAGAACCTTGGCTCCCTCTGTTACAGTCTGAGGCTGGACTGACAGAGTCACTGAAGGGGGGTCTGTGAGAAGCAGAAACATTCATGTCACTGACATGCATGACTTTGCAAAAGCATTCATTGGTCTCCACAGAACACTGGTGACTGCATGCTGCACGTTGATAATTTCAGAGTGTTTGTAGGCAGGTGGATGCTGGACTCACGCTGGACATTGATAGTGACTGATGTCTGTCGTCCAGCAGGGGCAGCTGGGTTAACAACCCTGCAGGTGTAGGTGCGTCCGGAGTCACTGTCCTCTGGAATGATTGGAAGCATACTGACAGCTGTTTCCCTCTTCCTATCCTCCATTAGGGACTATGAAGAAGGACAAAAACGAAGAGGTGAGTAAAAATCAGCTCAGCGTCACACAACAAAGTTGCATGTCATTAGCGACTTCACCATTTACACACTGCCAGTCTTATTTTATTTTTTTCCATGCGTGAAGCATTAAAAAATTGCCATCCTGTTCCTTGGCATGGCACTTAAATCATATATTTTATGATGCAGCAGGGGATATTGTGCTGTTCCCACATTTCTGAGAGTGTTCCCAGTCAGCGCTCCTTGTTTGTCATCATCTTTTAAATCTATTTACTGCTCACAGAAATCAATACGCCTAAGTGAGGAAAGGTGCAGATTCTGAGGATATGGCTCACTGCTCTCTCACTTTCTTCCTCTCTTCCTCATACATAAGAAAAAAAACAACAAAAAAAAGAAAGTGAAAGCTGAGCTGCCTGCGTGTCCTTTTTTTTTTGGTTGGTGACAGCGAGGGAGGGGTGTCACACATCATTGGAAAAGAGCAGGGGCGAGCCGAACCTTTTCCCTGGACAGCCAGATCAATGGAACAGGTCTTCCATTTTCTAAGCCAGACACACCAAAAGCATTTTTATGCTAGATCAAATCACATCCCTCCCTGTCGCCAGCCCTCACTTGGACAGAGCACAGCCTACCCCCAGTTTCACTCCTAAACGTTGGAAATTCTCTTGTTCTTTCTTTTTTTTTTTATTTTCACAAAGCTATTAACAACACTTTGCTCTGTCTTCACTCCCCTCCACCCCTTTCTATTCCTCTCCTCCACATTCCTCACATCTCATCTCATCTCCTCTCTCTCCCCCTGTAGCCCGCTTCCTTCCCTCCTCACTGTGGGCTCTCGCCTCCTTAAATGTGGCGTTTAGCATCGTTTAGCGTGGTCAGAGAGCATGAAAAATGTGACACTTTCCCAGCCGCGGCTGGTTTACGCTCTGGCGCATCCCCATTGTGTTTTTACAATTGTTGTGGGTGATTTCTTCTTTGCAGAAACTCTACTGTATGAAACACTCATGCCTGTCTGAGCTTTGGCATGCTCCAGTTATGCTGTAGTGTGGCTGCATTAGTGAGCAAAAAAAGGGGAGGGAGTAGAGAGTGAAGAGGGCTGAGGTGGTGTGGGGTGAGGTGGTATAGGGAGGGGAGAGAAGCTAGGGTGGAAGGGGTGGGGGTCAGGAATGAGTGGATGCGGAAGGGGGACTGCAGAGGGTAAGAGAACAAATCTTGTGAGGAAAGGGTGGCGATGGAAAAAGAAAGTGTGAGATACCGTGAAAGATAGATGGAGAAAAAAGCATCCAAACAGAAATGAGGAAAAAGATAGTATTATACCCCGAGAGAAAATATTTCTGTTTTTTGAATAGCTTTGCATTTATTTCTGCCCGCTGTTACAGTTTGTAATATTGTGTAGGTGTGTGGTGATTGAATGATAATGCAAAACACGGATCTGTTCTCACTGTACCTTGGAATAAATTGCAGTTTCCATGACTTCTCCATCTCTGTACCAGGTGATTTCAGCAGCAGGTTTGGCTCCCGAGGCTCTGCAGGTGAGGTTGTGCGGTGTGTGGGCCTTGAGACGTACAACGGGGCCGCCTTCCACCACAGGGTCAGAGGGAGGAACTGTAATGCAGAAACAAACATACAGCTCAAGACAAAAAGACTCATTGCAGCTCCGGGCGAGCGCAGAACCGCAAAGACGCATTACTGATATTGAGCTTGCTGTTGCTCTTAGCCCATCGTCAATATATAACAATACCTTCTTATTGCCAAGTGTCTATTTAACAAGGTGTAGTTTCAGACAGGAGAAAAGGCCGAGAGCTGTTGTCATTTGGTGAAAGAAAAAAAAAGCACACACACACTCAAACTTATTTATTTCCTTTCTTGGGGCTAGCATTATTGCTCTATTTGCTCTTACTGTTGCAGAGTGATGTTTCAACTGAATTGCTTATTTGTTCATTTATTTGCATGGTTTCGCACGCACCACTGTCAAGCCAAGCGTGCCACCCCTGATGAAGGCGTCTATCTCCCCAACCAATAAGGGAAGGCGTAAACATGGGGTTTGTGCTGGCCTTTCTTGCACCCTCTACCGAACCAATTTCACTGTGTGTATCTGAATTGTCAGAGGTCCTTCCGCTGTCGCGGCACGGACACTAATGGAATCCGAGTGCTAGGTGATTTTAATTTCCATGCCGATTCCCCTGACTGCACTCCCACCGTTGACTCCTTTGACTGTGCAGGATTGCTTTGGTCTCATCTGGCCACATTGATTTACGCACACACAGACACACACATACACTCACAAGTTAGGCGCACGCTCCCTCCTCATGTCCACACAAAAACATGAGCAATGCATCTGATTTCATTTATGTGTTTATGAAATGCACATAATGTTCATGAAGCACCAGCCACGGTGTCGGCCTTGGTCTTTCGAGAGTGCATTTAATGTTGAAGAGGCAGTTTTATCAAGTTTTCATGACTGCCTCCACACACACTCTCTGGATGTGTGTGGGCATGTGGCGACCGCACTGCTTCGTGCTACGCTGCGCAGCTTTTGGCGGTGACACGAGACAGATAAAGGTGGGCAGATGAGCTCGGGTGAGTCCTCAGATTCTGTTCATTTAACTGAAATGTTTCTACCTACCACTCAATTTGCCCTCCCATTGTTGCGCTATCTGCACCACTTGTCACTCTGCCTCAGTGACTTTGAACAGACACCTCCACGCAACGGATGGATTCAGTGACAGCAGGGTCTTTGTGGAGAAATGTTCACATAAGCTGCAGCAACAGATCTCTATAATTGTTCCCTTTGAGTTTTCCTTTCTTGATGAAAAATGCTTGCCTTGCAGGTCCATTTATGGGCAATTGACAGGGCTAATTTATAGAGTGATATTCCTTTTCATGCCACCAGATGCCAGCAGTACTATGTCAACTCCAATTCCCAAAAGATCCGGCCCCCCTCCTCCTCCTCCCCGTACTCCCCCATCCCTACCCCACTCCGCTCCACCTCACCCCACCTCTGAAGGTCTGTGTGAAGAAGTAGATCACTCACATCACGTTAATGTAAAAACCGCCGTGCGGTTGACAAATGTTGTGGCTCACTATAAAATGTGCTAACTATGCAGACTTTCAAGCGACTACGCAAGTCATTTGTGACTGCAGCAATCACATTACCCTAGACGTCGAGAGTCTTGATTATCGCGACTAAGAATGCTGGCGTTTCTTTTTTTTTTCCTCTTCTTCTCATGGTTGAGTCTTATTTGGTTTGAATTATGCTTTCAAGGCATGTTTTCCACTTGGAAACTGTACAGATAACGTTATCTATAAGCGCTGATTGAAAAAAAACAAACCCAAACAAACTATGAAGTTTAAGACATTTAATGTTGTGTTTTGAAGGTGATTCATTTCAGGGGATGAACATGTATTATTAGGGTAGTTGTCTGCAAGCTTTTATGCTCTGCGATGAAGACACTCCCCTGATTTTTCCCATGCACTGCCAGCCTGCAGGCCTTGGCACAAGGGCCGACTGTGAGGATCATGCGTGAGCTGTGTATCTTACCTAGTACAGTGAGCTTGGCACGGTGGGAGCGAAGCGCTGCCTGTGTAGCCTGACACTCATACACCGCGTCATCCGCCAACTCTGCTGAATCGATCTGCAAGCTGTGCTCGCCTGATAGCGGGTCGCCCATTAAGGAATAGCGTGTCCAGCCTGCGTGAAGCCAGCACAGAGAATAGAGTCAGAGACAAACAAACCAACCAACAACAAACACATAATGAAAGGACTATAAAATGAACAGACTTGTGTCCCGAACAAAGCCAAAAGAAACGTGGCAAGGCTCTTTAAGACACAAATGAAAGCAAGCAGCACCTCACAGGGCCAGGCATTGAGCCGTTGTGTTAGCAGAGCAGCGTGAGCCTAGAGATGCAACACGTGAGAAGGCTGCTGCATGGGAAGACTGTCCTTTAAATACAGGCACACTGAAGATGGGGTGGCTAAGGTCAAGAGGAAGCTTCTTCGCCTTTATGCTAGTCAGCCACACATTTAAATGTCAATGTGTGGCAAAAGCCAATTGATTATCCACCTTCTTACAAGAGTTAAAATGCTAAACAACAAATTAAAGTTCGGTGCGTGCAGCAGTAGCTGACCTGTCTGCAGTACATTGTTCACTCACCATTCATTTGTGTAAAACCCCAAAGGTTGACAGAGAGAGACTTGATTTCTAATGAGGCCTGGCATTAATTGCAGCAGGACAGACAGAGACAGAGAGAGCACTAAACACAGAGAGGGCAGGAGAAGAAAAAGGAGGGGGCTGGAGAGAAGAAGCCAGTGATAATACCTGGTAGATCTCTCTCTCCTCCCAGTGCCAGGCCATCTTTGGTCCACTGTACCATTCCACGGTAACCCACGATGACACAAGGCAAGGTCACCGACTGACCGGATACAACCACCTGGTCCTGGGGCTGCTGGGAGAAGTAGGCTGCTTGGGTGGCTGCTGGAAGAAAAAATAAAAAGGAGACAACGTGAACAACTAAAATCTTTAAATTGACCTTTTCCTTGATGGCAAACTGCAAATTCATACGGAGTCACAATATGGCTATAAAATCTCGATGTATTAAATTCAGAAAATGTGATCACAGTAGATTTCTGCAGTGCCAGCAGAGACGCATGACGAGGAAAGTGAAACTTTCTCTGTAAGGGCTTTGACGAAATAATGCAACTATTTAAAAAAAAGCAGACTGACACGAACTGCTCAGCTTACTCTCCTGTTACCACAGCACTTGGTGGGAGAAATGGACATGCGTGAAAATATTATTTGTTCCCCCACTACAAATGCGTCTTCTAAGAGGAAGAGTCAGCTGTTACTCGTAACTTATTTAACTCTTTCCCAAGACCATATGGTTACATGCTCACTGACATGAAGCAAACACGCTTGTGGAGAGAAAACGCAGCCACTCCTTCAATGTGCTTTTTGTAAAAATGGATGTTAAACAATCAAAACTCCATTAAAGTTCCCTGGGGACCCGTTCATTCGAGCTTGCTGAAAGTCAGCGGAGACAACTGCCGCCACCGCTGTCGCCGTTTCGCTGCTGTGTTTAAGTCAAAGTCTCCCCGGATTGGCTGGCTTGCCTTCACACGCATGCAGAAACACAGCGTGAATACGGATTCGCAGCTCCTACAGTTTGTGCCACTATGCTTAAGATTGTGTATTACAAACCCCACTGGCAGGGGGGGAAGACGGCAGCACTCCAGAGGGAACTAATTCGTAAGGGAAGGCAGGAGGTGAGAGGGAGAAAGGCAGTTGGTTGGTTATCTAAGTAGGATGTCTGTGTGAGCTGGGAAGAGGACTTAAAAAACCCTCCCTCATTCTCCTCTCTTTGTTGCTCGGTGGAGAATGGAAGGGAAGGGGGACAGTGGAAGATAAAGAGGGTTCTATTCAGGCAGTGCTAAGCCCCCACTCCCCCCACCCCGAACTGCTTCTCTTGGTGGGAACGCTTAAACAGACAGGATCCCCCCTCCCTCCCAACATGAAGAAAGCCACTGAAAGGAGGGCAACATACGGCGGCCAGAGACACGCTATTGTCCTCTTGTCCCTCTCTTTTAATAGGCCTCTTCATTTCTAATCAATCCTGCTAAATGCAAGTTTAATAGCTTTTCAATAGCAGCTTTTCCCCCCAGAGGGTAGCTGGGATTTTCTCTACCCCCCCCCCCCCATCCTCCCCTTCTTTTACCCTCCATTCTTTCTAGTTTTTCTTTTCTGAAGGGGTGGTGTGTTGAGGGGCTTCCGTGGTTGTTGGCACTGTTTATCCTGCACTCAATTAACCACTTCATCTCAGGACTGCACCCTACCCTTCGCCTCCCTCACCCCTTTGCACCCTCCTGCCTCTGTCATCCAACAGAACGATTAAAGCCGCCAAACAGTGAGCTCATCAGGAACATGAGCGCTCAACACTTTAGACCGTTGTGGCTCTCGACAACTGCCTCGAAACCCATTTTCACATGCTCCCATTGTCTGTTACTCTCCATCTGGGCCAAACGAGGTGTTAATAGATCGAGTCGAGATGTAAAAAAAGAAGAAAAAAGAAAGATCAGAGAACAATGCATGTCGGCTCTCCAGTATCGTCTCCCTGTACATCATTTTTATGAAAGAGCTTTAAAAGTCGATTGAGCTGTGGGTGCAAACAGGTAGACTTCTGTATGTGTGGCACGCACTGGGGATCAAAAGAGGCCAATTTGAGAGCGTCAATAAGAAGTGAAACGTCTTCGAGTGAAGGCCATTAGGCATTTACCGAAGGCTGGCATTTTCCAGTCATACCTTCAAAAAAATGCTGTTTTAACAGTCTGCCCGCCTGTCCCTTACATTCTGCCGTTATGAGCTATTGAGCATTTTCATTTTCCTCCCATTGCAAAGCGAGTTGGGGGATTTTCCTCTTTGTACTTGCAACAGTACAAACATTGATTGTAATTAAGTATCTTGCCCAGAGTATCTAAATGTTTACAATGGGTAATAGTTCACTGCATTGGTTGATTGTTTAGATGGATTACATGCATTGAATTGCTTCTCTTTACCTCGCCCACGTACAATTTCTCATGCTCACAAATGGCAATTAACACCATACGCACACACACTCACGCATATGCAGCCGTACAAATATAGAGTACGGAGCATGTGCTGTAGAGAATGTCTTCACGCCATATGAGTGATTCATTGCTCTCCAGATCCCTTATTGAAAATGCTCAACAGAACATCTCGACTGGCTAATGACTCATGCCAGATTCCTTTAATTCCTCCTTGCTGAATTAGACAATTCTTTGACGGTGTATTAGCAACTTAATTACATGAATACATTTCTGACGGGGAGAGAGGGAGGAACGCAACCAGACAAAGAAGTAGTGGAGGAGAAGCAGTCAGAAGAAGTAGGGAGCTGTGGGTGTGAGGAGGCTTGTTCTTGGTGTGCTGCAGTGTCACATACACACATGCGTGTACACAAACGAAAACACACAAATAGTTTTCGGTGATTTTCAGCAGACTAAAAATGGGGAGCTCGTCTATTGGCTGCAGTTGAATCGCATTCGTAAAGAAAGACTTGAATCCCCTTGAAATTCCAACATTTCTGCAGAGGATGTGAGTTTATTTATCGCGTTGTCTCGATTGCTACGCAGGTAAATATGTGCAGAGTAGATTAGTTATACAACACGTTGCGTGCTTAAATGTTACACTGACACCAAAAATGCAATATTCGCTCTTTCTCACCTTGCTGTGCGTATATGTGTGCGCGTGACTGCTTTTCCGTCCCCTAGTAACAAGGTCAAAAACACATTTGGCCAGATACATTTTAATCCGGATTTCTCAAAATGGAATATCATTTCACACCGCTGGATGCACATGGGGCTAAGTTTATGTGTGTCTGTGTGTGCGTGCATTTCCGCCTGACGCTGAGTGTGTGTTTGGGCTATGTATGTTTATGTCTGCCGTTTCATCTCAGTGTGTGAATGAGTGTGGAGGTTGGGGCTGCGTTAATAGGGTAAGCATCTTGTCAGGCACTGGAGGGCACATTTAGCAGTTACTTTGACACAGTGACTTTGCTGTTTCTGTCACATGGTTGGTGTTAAGTGCAAAACAGCCTCCCCGACTTGGGCGAAACCTATTAAAGAGCTTTGCGTTGACCCTGGAACTGCTTGCTCTCTCTCCTTCATCTGAACTGATAGGGGATGCGCTCGCATCAGGAAGGATCAGGAAGGGATGGACAGATGTCGGCAATGATCCGTCCTCCACTGGACATCTGCCTTGATAGAAATAGATTGAAGCAGTCATTCTGCGTGTGCGAGCGCGCGTGCGTATGTACGTGAGTGTGTCTCGTGTGCATTTATCCCGGTGGGGACTTTAACCTGACTGCACACAAACCTGTGGGAACAAAAATCAAGGTCCCCAGAGGTATGGACTGCTTTTTGAGGCTTAATACTTGGTTTTAGGTTCAGGGATAGCATCAGTTAAGGTTACGTGGATAACTGCGAACACCCAGACGAGTGTCATGGTCCGAAAGCGTTGTTGTTGCTGCTGTACTGTAGTTTCTGTGTAGACACGCTGCGGTCACAACAAACTCAAGGACGCTCGGACACCCCCTGTGGAGTCTTGCATTCAGCCCTCATGACAGAATTTGCACCAGTAGGACCCAAGATAACTCTCGTACTTGGTAAAGTGGAAAGTATAACGCTGCCATTAGGATTAGGCATTCATTTATTGTGATGGATAAGGTGAAGGCTAGGGGATAAGAAATGCATTATCAATGAGGGAGTCCCTCTGGGCTACAGAAGCAAGATTTTTTTAAAAATAAAAAAAACTTTAATAATAAATAAATGATCTGAGCATCTGAGGGCACAAAAGTCAATTTAAGTGCATAAGTTGGAACCTTCAAATGAAAACTAAAATAACATCAGCTACTCCACTCTGTTCATTTTCCTATGTTTTACGATGACACTCAGCTGCTGATGGCAGTGTTTGCAAAGAGTTCTTATTTTAGTTCCGATTTTATGCCATGTCCTCATTCCCATCCAGTACGAAGAGTACAACATCCAGTCCTGTGGGGTCTATAAATGTAAGTGCTCTCAACTTGACTGGACAATTTGCTCTGTGCAGTAATAATTCAAAATGCTAAAAAAAAAGAAAAAAAAGAAATAGCACCCGATATCTACTTGCATTTCAGCCCTATGCTAACGGCAAAGACTCCCGAGCCCAGCTGGTGTGAGTTTTCCCACAATAAGAGCCAGAGATGAGAAAATGAGGAAGCAAAGCAGACAAAAAACATTACAAAACAAGGCAATTGGCAAAAAAGTGTCAAGCTTGGAATAAACAACCACTTTCTCCAAATGCCATCCATTGTGCCTTGTCTAGATAAGGCTTCTAAATCGGGCTGGAAAATGGGAGCTCCATTTCTCTCTGTATGGAATTATTATCCCTTTGTTTTGAGTCAGCCTCTTTTGTCTTCCTTTTCCTGTGTGTGTGTGTGCTTGTGTGTGCATATAAACAGAGAGTAATGCTGAGTAGTAGCTGAACCAAACAGTATGTCCCAAAGGGGACACGGCACCCATCTTATGTTTGATCTGGCTACTAAGCTCATTTCCGTGACTCTCACAGAACTTCTAAGGGGCTTAAAACACGCTAACAACAGATACCACCCACCAGCCCATGGCAGTATGGCCACCCGCCCCATCACACACACTATATGGGTGAGCACCTCTGTATTTTTCTTTAACTGTTGCAAACAGCTTCACCCTGTGCCTCTGCAGATGTCTGCATCTAGCCTACCTTAATGTAACCGAGCATCTCTTCCATCTTTTCTTTCCCACATTGCATTTCATCTGCACTCCCAACCGCCCACTCTCACTATCTTCTCTCCCATTTTGCTTTTTTTGTGCCCAAATTGCAGCCTAACAGCTTTTTAAGAGCTGTTTTGCTGGAGTTTAATCCTCCTAGCCTCCCCTTTCAGCCTTTAT